ATGGAGAGATGGGCACTCTGCCTCCTAGCTGCAGGACAGGCGAGGCTGACCTCACAGAGGAACTAGGGAGGTGTGCTGTGACAGGGAGAGGCCCAGAGACAGAACATTCCTAATCGACAAGCACTGGCACATCAGGTTGTACATGTCAACAGCGCGGCTCGTGCCCCTGTCACAGCCTGAACTGAGCAAGAGCACCAGGACACCTGCACCCTCTCCCAGGCTGCAGTCCTGGGAGACGCCAGGAGAGGCTGTCGGTGCTCCAGAGCCAGTCCTCAGTTTGCTGATCAGGTGTAAATTCAGTGTCTGCTCCCAGTCCTAAGAGACCTTCTACCTGAAGCAGTGATGAGGACATGTGGTGGACACAAAGGCCAGGGTCCACCTAAGGAGCATAGCTCAGATGCAGGCACCAGCACCCACTGGGTGGGGACCCCCAGAGGACAGGGTAAGTCCTCACAGTACAGTGGTGGTCACACCCAGCATTAATTACTATGCATGCACTTGAGAGATCAAGAATTCAATATTTTTTTGTGATCAGGACTCACATCAATGCAAAATGGGAAACCGTCTTATGTGAAAAGTACAGTTCATCACACACCTGAATGCCTTCCCCAGGTCAGGGTGCAGAGTGCTGAATGTTTACATCACATAACCATCCTTCTTTCAGCAGGTATCTAGGAGAAAGGGCTACCTGCTAAACGCATGATGATGTAGATCAAATTTTATTAGAGTAAATAAGGTAACATCTTAAGGGTGGGGGATCTGGGTCAAAATATGACCTATTTAAATAAAATGCATTCTCCTAAAACTATGGTTTTTAAAAAATAACCAGAATTGAATTCTGCATCCATTCATCTCAAGCAGATAACATTCAGAATGTATATGGGTTGTCATGACACGGAACTATGGATAAGGAATGCCCAGATCCTTTTCATATGTTCTCTTCATACTCTGAACAACAGATCTGGAGATTATCCTCTGGTAGCAGAGTATCATCATTTCACAAAGAGTGAAGCCAAAATCCTTAAATATTAACCACATTGCCATTTCCTGATCTTCCTGGAGAGAATACCACTGGCTGTCCCGGGGTAGGTCGGGACCCTCCCCACCCAGAGCCTGTCTGCTCCTTGCACTACCCACCAGGGCTCTGGATGCCATGGGGGCTTCCCTGCTAGGCCAGCGGCCGCACACTGTCCTCCTGCCCACTCTGCCCACTGAAGGAGTCGTAGGCCCAGAGTTTCCACTTCTGACTGCCTGCTAAAACCACTTTGGGAAGGTTTAAGCCACCAACACTTAAGGCTCAGCAAGGGAGCATTCCAGTAGAATGTTCACAGAGAATTTCAAAGGTCCGTGGGTGACTCTAGTGTAGGCAGCTGAGAACCAGCAGCCTACCACGTGCTGACCATTAACATCCATCTGCTGATGGTCTGTCATCTCCCATTGCACTTCACAGAAAGACCATGTGCTTTCCAGCTCTCCGCTCCTGTGCTGACCAAGCTGCTGTGGACAGCAGCCAGGCTTTGCCACAGGTGCTTCACAGCAAACCCAGGCAAGCCTGGTCACTCTCTCTACACACAATAACTCTAAGCCTCAGAACTTCTAAGAAACGTCCCCAGGCTACTCAGCCAAGTCAGCGGTGGCATCCAGATCCAGGGCACCTGACCCCAACTCCTGTCCTTCTCCGGTTCACAAGCCCAAGAAGCCCTCAGCTCCACCACAGCAGCCTTCGCCAAAAAGTGGCCAGAAGCACAAGAAAGACTACGGTTCTTCCAGTGGGTCCACCTGCTGCTGAAAACACCAAGGCATGAGACACAGCAAAAGTCCTTCCAAAGACACTAAACCAACCTCACTGGCTAGATCCAGAAAACACTGGCTTCAATAGGAAGACACTGTCCACACACAAGCCAAGCCAACTCCACACAACGCTTCAAACCTTGTCAAGGCACAGGCTGAGCCAAGCTACCTCCGAGCCCTGCCGCCCTCTTCCCGCATCCTCTGCTTCCTTTTATTCTTCCGAAGGATATCACGCCGCAAAGCCTCGGGCGAGGGCAGAGGAGCCCATAATCTGCTGGGGGACTATGGCTTAACTCAATGACATCCTAGCACTTCCCGAGCCACCACCTGAGTGCCTCACGTGTTCTAACAGGACCCCCAGATGGTTCAGTGGCTCAGTTAAGGACATTGCAGGTCAGAAGGTGCTGACGAAGGACAGGCTGAATGTCCTGCAGTTGAAACGTGCCGGAGGAAGAGGGCCCTGTCTAGGTCAGAAAAGCCTCATGGCAAGCCTGCGTGGCCACAGTGGGTCACCAACCCCCAACCGGGTCCTGACATCAGAGGCCAGTTTAGCCTACGAGAACACCACACTGAAAGCTTCCTTCAGAGCCGGTGCCAAGCCACACGGGACCCGTGGCCACACCCTCCTCCACCCACTAACCAGGAACTCCAGTCTAACAGGGGTGGGAAGCCAGGGCATTGGCAGTTCATAAACTCTCAGTGTGCCCGAGGGAAGACCCAGCCACATAATCGGAGGCAGCTCTTGTGATTTTAAGGGAAAGACTAAGTCATCTGCAGCTGGATCCCAGCAAGGGACTCCACCCTACCTCGTACMATTTAGATCTCAAGGCCACACAGACTGCTCAGTAAGAAAGATGCTTCCTCCATGAATTCAGCTAACAGAAGAGTGGCTCCTGGACAATACAGATTCTAAGCAACTGGAAGACTCATCAACCCTAATAATTTTTCAACAATATCCAAGACATGATGTTTTCACTCAAAATTTTTTTAAAGAAAACTTAAATATAATACTTAACAGATATTTTAAAGGTACAAATGCTGATGAATTTTATTATATTACTGATGTTTTTCATCACACAGGGGGAGCATATAATCATGCAATAGCTCTCAGGAGACCTGGCTCTGGCCTGTGCTGTGGAACCGACCTTCACACACACTGTGCATCCATGGGATCTGTCCTTTCTACACACAGTGTCCATCCCTCCCTGCAACCCTTCCCTTTCTCCTGGGCAGCAGTCTAGGACCAAGCCTCTCAGACTCTCCTACTCTGGGTCCAGGGGGGTTCCAATTCGGGAGCTAACCTTGACCTACACAAACTGAAGTCCACCTGCTTCCCCAGGTACCTTGCTGGCTGGCATGTCTCAGTAAGGCAAGTCCTCTGCTTGTCCTGAGCTCCTGGGTAGCAGGGTTCAGTGGGTCCTCATCATCCTTCCTGGCCCCCCATCTGGGTAGCAAGGCACACAGTCGGAGCTCAATGTGCACCCGGAGCCAACAGAAAGCACTGCAGGAAAAAGCACTTGGTGGAGAAAGCAGCTCAGGAACTTGATTTCTGACGGAAAGGGAAAGACCAATGTGGGAGGTGGGGTAGGAGCAGACACAGAAAGCCAAAAGTTAGACTGTGGACCCTTAACCACTGGGTGGCATCAGATCATCCAGCCACACCTTCCTCATCCATTGCGGGAAGACACCTCTGCTCACACCACACACTTCCTTTGAAATAGATGTTAAAACAGAGCTCAGTAAACAGCAGGTATTTAATAAACAGTAGTGAACATGCAGCCAAAAATGAGGTGAGAGTGAAGTCCCTTCTGCACTGAGGACCTAGGGTTCTGTGAAGAGGTGGGAGGTGCAGTGTGAGTTACTGGGTTGACCTCCCACCCAACCTGGTGCACATAGGAGAGCAGGCTCTTGCTCGTCCAAGGGGCCAAAAGCAAATATTTACGGCTTCTGGGCCACATAGTCTCTATTACAGCTACTCAGTTCTCACTGTGGAACAAAAGCAGCAGTATGCAAAGGAGTGTGTCTGTGTGCCAATTAAACTTTATTCACAAGACCAGGAGGTGGGCCAAGGTTAGGCTATGGTTTGCTGGCCAGTCCAACATCACGCATGACATGTTTTGTCTTTTGTTTTTCAAGTAGACCCAGGGCAAACTCTTCATTCGTTTACTCATTTGTCCTCTGCCTCCTGAGTTGTGCTACTGTGTGCCAGGCACTCTGGTCAGCAGTGAAGAATCAGGACTGGAAAATGCCCTGGGTCCCTTGCATCATCCCTGTGTTCCCTCCCCCCAACAGGCACCTGCAGCACAGGGAGGCCACAGGGGCTCTACTCTCAGCCACCAAATATTATGGGATTGCGTATATTGGGGTTCCTTGAAAAAAAAATAGGCTCTGAGGCTTTAAAAGAAAGGTTTGAAAACCACTGGTCTACACAACATTTTACCATTCTCTTATATGGCCAAGTGGTGTGTGGCAGAACCCAGAATCTTGCTAATACCAGATTAATCTTGCTAATATCAGAATGCATCTGCTTTTTGCCCTGGATCTAGCAGATCACTGTGTCTTGGGAAAGGATGAAATTACTCTGCAAGAATGTATGTCTCTCAAGGGCTCCTGATATAACCACTGTCCTACTATCTTAACGGTTCTTGTGAACTGGACTCTCCCTTGGCTGGGTATCCTGGGGCCACAACAGGAAAATTCCAGTGTCCTCTCCCCATGAAGTTTTRTGCAGCTCCTGATCTGCTACCTTGAGAAGCACCACCTGCTCTGTGCCATCACATGCCACGGCCAGAGGCTGTGTCCTCTGGAACTCAGGCTCTCCCTGAGGGTGAAAGAACCCCCACTCCATCCAACCTCTTACGGTAGAGTCGTTTTAAAATGTCACAGTTCCAAACTCCGACTTGGTCTGTTTAAAAGAGTGCTCTCCCCACAGGACACATGTGTTTTCTCTGTGCACCTTGATGGTGGTGAGAGAAGAATGCTGGCGAATTTCACCACAGCTTCCTACCTCTCAGCTCCCAGCTGCACCTTGCCCTTTAAGTTGGTGTCTCAGCATCTGCACACACCTGTTGTAACTCTAGTCCTGGGTGTTTCCATAACTGCTTCCCAAAACTCCCACACAGGGCTCAAAAGCCAGGCCTGGATGCCATCCATGTCCTTGGAGCCACTGCTTCCCAAACGGAGCCTCTGTGTTGGTTTTTAACTGCTTCCCACAGATCAAGTCCCTGAACTTCCACGCTGAACACCTATGGAAGGCCTTTCTTGCCAATGTCAGTTTCTATGAAAAAAGAATCAAAAAGCAAAAGCAAGAATCAGGAAGCATGCAGGGTCCGTTTCTTCCAGGGAGAAAGTCCTGCCATGGCCCATCTGTGCCTGCAGAGAAGCAGCCACCAGGGCACCCTCTGGAGAAACAGATGCAGGGCACGAGGGCAAGTGGGCAGGGCCTGCAGGCTGGGCCGTGCGGGTTCCCACACACTGCCTTTGGTGTAGCCCTCATTAGGAAGAATCATGTTTCTTGAGGAATGCTCAAGTTTTTGAAATAGTATGAAATCTGGAGTCCAGCCTGATTGGTTAGGACTAAACTGTCAGGAGTCAAACTGTTGGATAAACTTATGAGAAACGTTTTCTCAGATGGCATGGAGCCGACAGCAGTTCCACACTGCCTTGGAAAGGCAGTCTCCTGGGACAAGCAGAGGTCAGTGGGACTTGGGTGTGGCAGAGCCAGGTGTCTGTGTAGGATAATACAGGGGCCTTCTCTTTCAGGCACCCTCTGGGATCAGTGGTTCAGTTCCAAGTGAGAGGTGACACCTGCACCCTTCCTGGTCCCCCCTCACCTCAACAAGATAGAGGTGGGTTAGGTGGACTCAGAAGAGGATGGCCTTGCCCATGTGCCAGCCAAGGAAGACCACGTGAATGCTACGGACCCTCCTGACCCTAGCTGCCAAGTGGGACAACACCCCTCCTCCTTCCAGCTGGGTAGGCTAAGAACCGACTCACCACTAATGACCCCAGTCCTCACAACGGGAGCTGTGTTGTCACCTGACTAAAACTCAACCCTTTTACTTTCAATTCCCAGACTCACTGAATGTAAGATGGTAGGATAAAGACCAAGTGACAAGTGTCAGAGGTGTGACTAATCTGGAATAATTCTGGAGATCTGAATGCATCATTTACATTATCTCAGGCCTTATATACAACAGGGGTTTCCCTTAGGAACACAGGGGAATAAAAAGAAATTTAGAGAACTCGCCCTGAGCTTCTCATGTCTTAACAAGGGTCAAGAGGCCAGGAAGTGGGGCCAAGGAGGTTTTGACAGGACCACCAGGAAACCTCAAGAGGAAGGGAGGATCCCAGATGTAACCCCAGGACTTTTAAACAGGGCTCCTGAATCTATCCAGGCTGAAGCCAAAGCCCCAGAGTGGAAATGAATTCAAGAAGCCAGTGTCTAGAACATGCCCTTAGAGATCTGAGGGGTTTCCATCAGCCATCTAAAAGCCTCTCAGCACACAGCAAGAGAAACCCCTGCCCTGCACTCACCAGCTCTAGTGTGACTAGGGTGCCACCAGAAGAGGAAGAATCGGGGAATGGCCTTGGCACGGATGCCTGCCGGACTTCCTGCCACTGCTGAGCAGATCACGGCACAACCGCCTCATGTCAGACGTGAGGCGGGCTTACCAGCGCAGGGCAAAGTGAAAGTTAAAGTCTGGGAATTTTCTCCTTGGTTATTTCTGGAAGGACCTCTTTCCAAGTCACTCACAAAGTCAGTTCTGGAAGCATGTGCCATACGTGGTAAATGGCAGGCTGCAGAGCTCCTGGCAACCGAGAGACAACTGCTCTTCCAATTCCAGGCCCAGCACCCAGCTCTGCCCGGGTGACCCCTCAATAGAGGCCCCTGCCCCAGTGCCCCACCCTCCCTGTGGCTCCCCTGGGTGACCCCTCAATAGAG